GGATCGCGACCAGAATGGGGGCGGGAGGGGGGTAACCGCGTTCTGAAGAATTATTTACGGTATAGTTACATCCACGAACAGTTTTATCAAGTCACCATGTCAGTAAGATTTAATGCAGTTGTTTTCGGAAGATATACCTACAGCAGGCAAGAGACTGCGAAGTTTTCCGTGTCTTTGTAACGTGTATACTCCGATTACTGTGTATGTTTGGATTTGCATTGTTCCCTTTATGTACAGTCTAATTTCCTTGTCTGTGTCATTGTAAGGTCTACCGCCACAGGGTGAACACCCAATTGCAGTAAAAGAATAAGTACTTACTCATGGAGCTGAGCCCATCTTGAGGAGCCGTCAATTCTGCAACTACTGAAGAATTTCCCAGCATTTTATGGAACCCGAAGGTTCATTACCATGTTCACAATAGCCATCCACTGGTCCCTATCCTGAGCCAGATCAATCCAATCCCATCCCATCCTATCCTATCTCTCTTAAGATACATTTTAATATTGTCCACCCACCTATGCCTTGGTCTTCCCAGGGGTCTCTTTCCTTCTGGCCTTCCCAACAATATCCTATATGCATTCTTCTTCTCCCCCATTCGTGCTACATGCCCTGCCCACCTCATCTTCCTTAACTGATCCTTCTAATTATACTTGGAGAAGAGTACAAGTTATGAAGCGCCTCATTATGCAGTTTTCTCCAACCTCCTGTCACTTCATCTCTCAGTAAAAGAAGAATAATAATAAATATTTTCTAGCTTGGTGTAGGTGTAAGAGAGGAAGAGCCCTTTAGGATCTTCCTTTCACCTTATATCCTGATAAGGACCTGTTACAATGTGCAGAAATACACTTGTCCTGCCTATACAGGAACATTGTATAACTTGCTGTAGGTGCAGAGAGGCTTATAGTTACTTAACGTACCTGCTGTCACCGTACAGCCCGATAGAGACCTGCAACAGTGTGCAGAACTGTACTTGTCGTGACTGCACAAGAATATTTTATAGCTTATTGTATGTGCAGAGAGGCTGTAAAGCTGTTTCGTTTCCTGCTGTCACCGTACAGTCTGTTAAGGGATCTGCATCAGCGTGCAGAACGGCAGTTTTGTTGACCAGCAGAGATCTGGGGTCGGATAAAAGTGTTTACTATTGTAAGGGGTCTCGTCTTAGTTTGAGGTCCCCTGCTCGCAAGAGATGAAGCGTAACAGGAGGTTGAAGAACACTGTATAATGAGGAGCTCCATAATGTAAAAAGTAAAGTAAAGCTATTCCTGTAACAAGCCGTGGAGGCCCATAGGGTTGTGAGACGTCGAGGCTCCCACATTTTCTCTAGACGGTCAGGTCAGCCTTACAAGCCCATCACCCTTTACCCCTCAGAAATATTGCTGGTACTCATTTCTGTTAGGAGCTGAGTCGACCCCAGGGCCATAGTGCGGCTCGAAGGATTAGATTGATTGAAATATCCATTTACCTCATCGAGAATCGAACCTGCGACCATCCGGCTTGTAGCATAATGCCTCAACCAACTACGCTATCGCGTGCCCGCGTTCCCTAATACTATTCATCAAGTGTTATAGGGGGCGTTACTCGTGGAGAATGAGACAGGTTTGGTATGTAACAAGCGTGGGAGGGTTGAGAAGTGTATAACATGTTTTGTTGGTAAACCTGAAAGAAAGAGACTACTTGAGTGACCTAGGCGTAGATGGGATATTGGTTTTCTTTTCGCTGGTTCTGCAGTCCCCTTGGGCCCTGGCCTCTGATTTTCAGTTCCATCATTTTACAGACGGTAGGACTCCTTGGACGAGTGATCAGCTCGTCGCAAGGTCTCTACCTAACATAGGACAACACAAGACATAAAAATCTCCGTGGCCTGTAGTCCGCAAGCGAACTATACTGACCGAGCGACCGCCGCTTATCGGCCAAGTTAGTGCCAACGTTAGTGGACAGAGGGTGTCACGTGGTCAGCGCAACGGATCCCCACGGCCGTTAATCTCGGTTTTCTAGACCGGGACCTCTGTTTCCTTGAAATAGCTCCTCAGTTATCCTCACGAGGCTGAATGGGCCCCGTTCCAGCCCTACTACCTCTCAGAGAATCTGGTGGCGCAGGGAATTGAACCCGGGATCTCTGGATCTGTAGCCAGCAACTCTGACCACCAGACCACAGATGCAGTCCATAGTTAAACACATAACAAAATATGCATCCCCTGTGTGGGATTCGAACCCACGATCCCTGCTTCTGAGCAAGAGAAGACAGATCATTTCTTAGACCGCTTGGCTAGGTAGGTAATTATGTTTCAGGAGTTAAACTTGTTGAAAGTCTTTTCAGGGTTGCTTAGCACGTATACTCATGTAAAAGGTGTGCTGTGGATTAGTAATCAAGAATCAGTATTGTGCGCGGTGTCGATGGCGCTACATCAAACGAAGCCCACGCGCGGTACAGGCAGTATATACAACCTTCCAGCATTAAACATCCCAGCGTAATTGTATGCAACTCGCGACAGCACTGGAGTGACTCACAGCGCTTCCTGCTGTCTGCATGACAGCGTGTCTTCACCGGAAGTGCTGTACAAATCTTCGTGGTAACTTTAACTACTGTAAAGTTAATAACCCTGAAGACAAAGCGAATGTTCATCGTTGGCGGTCACCCAGCGGGACATATTTGTTAAATTTTCATTGACCGTTAAAGGTACACTGGCAACTTTATACATCACGTGTTTTGACTATCTTAAATCTGAAATTAATAAAAAGCAAAACACTCCCTCTAGCAGGCCATGGAGGCCCATAAGGCTGTGAGACGTCGAGGCTCCCACATTTTCTCGAGACATTCGGCTCACAGATGGCGGTGAGGTTGGCAGCCTTACGCACCAGCCGCCCTTTACCTTCCAGGAATATTCCTGGTACTCATTTCTGTTAGAGGCTGAGCCGACCCCAGGGCCATAGTGCGGCTGGAAGACGTATGTCAATTGAAAAAGTACAGTGACTTAATCGGGAATCGAACCCGCTACTTTCCGGCTTGTAGCATAGTGCCTCAACCAACTACGCTACCGCGTGTTCATTATTATTATTATTATTTTGTAATTTGCCTCTGCGCTATTAAGTTTACACGTCAATAGACAAGAATTGTTTTGCATTGTTACTTTAATTTAGTTCGTGTTTTATGTAAGGACTGTGTTTTAACTGCAGCGATTCATTGCTTTACGAATTTTCCATGTAGCACATTTGAAAAATGAGTACATTTCCCTTTATTTGTAATGAATTTTTGCTGCAACGAAAACACTCCAAACCTAACCTTACTCATCTATTTATTCCAGTGAACGAATCATTCTCCGTCGTTATGGGTTATAACGGCACGTTTTTCAAATATAATTCATTTTATCACTTCATAAAGGGCGTCTCTGCCAAACGAGTGCATGTGGCGGATTAAGGAACCCCTAAGTTAATGGCATGTGACATAAGCTGAAATTCTGGTCGGACTGTACATCGGTGCATCCAGTTCCCCCTTCCCTTCTTCCCCCCGCCCCTTGCGCAGCGCTAGAGCCCTCGAGGAAGAGAGCGCTCTCTGTCGAGACGGGCTCGAGTGTTCTTCATTTTAATAAATGAATACGCCGTACTATATACTAACGTTTCTTTACACTTATTTATATATTTACATAAGGTCAAAAAAAGGTAAGCCGACAACAGTGGCCGCGCGGTCTAAGGCATAAACAGCCTTCACCCTCTCGAACACTGAGGTCGTGGGTTCGAATCCCACTCAAAGCATGGATGTTTGTATGCTTTTATTCTATGTTTGTGTTGTTCTGTGCTTAGGTAGCGGCCTTGCTACTATACTAAAAATCTAAATTCATTGAGTGAGTAGAGTAGTTAATCCTATGGCTAGATAAACCGATATAATCTCACGGTTGGTGTTCTTAGTTTTCTCTGAAGCCTAGAACAGTCCATTAGCAATTTCTTTGGTTTTCGTCAGTTTCTCTTTGCAAGTGTTTAAGTGACGTCATTCTTATTCGTATACCCTGTTCAAACTGCAGGCATTGGGTAGAGGTTACAATCGATAGACTCTTCGCACGATCGATCCGCGTAACTGTGGCGCCAGATCTAGATTAAGCTGCTTTTAATATAAAAGTTTTAAATTTAGTCATTAGTCAAATAACCTTTTTTGTGATAGTCTTTTGTTTAAGAGGACACCTTTTTTGTTAGTACAGACCGATTCTTATGGTAACGTAAAGTTGTCCCTGTGCTTAACTAATTAAGCACTACGCCATGAAGACGTATGGGGCAGTGGATGTATAGATCCACACTTTCTTTACCTGGGCAATAGTTGGAGGTGAGTGGTCAGCTTCACGCCTTGGCCGCTTTATCCCCGGCGGAAGAGACCCCGGTACCTATTGGATAGGAGACTATATGGGCCCCAGAACCGGTCTTGACCCTACCAGGACTCGAACTCGGACCCCTCGGTCGTTCAGCCAGTAGCCAGGCGCTATACTGACTGCGCTATTCCGGCTTCTAACTAGGTCCAGGTACCGCAGGACAAGAGGCTTTCTGGGCCTCGCAGTCGGTTTGATCCTAATGGCGAAAAGAAATGCATAAACAGTTTTTTTTTCGGAAACCGGAACGTCAGAAAGTGGTGGGGATAGAAAGGCGTAAATGTAAGGATAGTGTACTCCAAACGAAATTGGCTATGAAGATGTGGACTAAACTGACGGGCTTTGTGAACGTTGTGACAAGGCTTGGGGTTCCATAATTTTTATCTTGCCATTTCTATAAAATTCCGGTCTCCCAATCCCTAATCACGTCACTATGTAGACTGAGCTTTCGGTTTAATGTCATTTGTTTAGTTACGTAGTTATCACGTGTTGTATTTTCGTTGCGCATTGCTAATTATGGACTCAAAACTGTGTTTGTTCGTTCGTTATTGTCATTCGTTTCTCGTGGACTAATTCTTTCTTCTGTTATTACCAGATGTTTCGCTGCTTGTCTTCGTGTGCACTGTTTTCCCTTAACGACAGCATCAGACATACACCGGAACAATTTTGATTGCTGTGAACCCTTACAAGGAACTGGACATCTACACATCGGTAAGTATAACTCACGGGCTTTCCTTCCACATTTGGAACCATTATATGACATGATGACTGAAATATAGACCGCTGCGAGGTAACGGCTCCTTAAACACGTCGCGGTAACGTATACGCGCGCAACAATAGCGGAGCTGTTGGAATCGATGCTTCAGTGCGCCGGGAATCAAACCCGGACTTCTGGATGATCTGTAGCCATGAGCTCTGACCACTAGATCACAGGGGCGGTCTGGCCTTATCTCTGGATTAACTTTTCAAATGTATTCGTCCGTATAAAGGTAAAAGCCTTCCGTATGCTTAATTAAACACCACGCCGTGAATACCTGTGGACGTTTTATTAAAACAAGTGGCGTGCAACAGGATGCTGCAGTACAACATGTGGAGGTATAACTCCATACATTCTTGACCTAGTTGCTAGATGTAAGACGCTATCATATCGCGGCCGCGCTGCACTCGGAGAAAGAGACCTCGATGCCCATTGGGTAGGAGATCGGGTGGGTTCCAAAGCCGGTCTGGAAGCTGAGGAGAAATTATTTCCCCCTACCTGGAATCGAACCCCAGATGTTCTAGTCTGGTCGCTATACAGATTGAGCTATCCCATCTCCATTTCCGCTGTATACGCAAAGTATGGTAAGGTACAGCTATCCCTGTAACTGGCCGTGGAGGCCCATAAGGATGTGAGACGTCGAGGCTCCCACATTATCTAGACAATCGGCTCACAGATGACTGTAAGGTAGTCAGTCTTACGCGCCGGCCGCCTTTTACTCCCCAAGAAGCTTCCTGGTACTCATTTCTGTTAGAGACTGAGTCGACCCCAGGGCCACAGTGCGGCTAGAAGGATTATGTCAATTGCAAAATAATCCACCTCATCGAGACTCGAACCCGCGATCTTCCGGCTTGTAGCACAGTGCCTCAACCAACTACGCTACCGCGTGCCCCTCCTGTGTACGTGGTATAATTAATTTAATGGGTACTTTCTTCCTGATTCATACGCAGTTTTCAACTTCCTTCTGCAGTGTCGTGATGTTTCTCTCAGAACCAACGTAGAGCTTCACTGAAGTCGTCACCTGTTTGCGTAATCCTCCCTGACAGTGTTGTTTCAAAGATCGATAAATTGTAAAGGTCAAACCTTTGGCACATTTAGACCCTTTCATTAACCAGAGCTGTCAGAACGACTGTGTCTGCACGTGTATTTTTCGCCCATTATTTTTATTAGTTCTGTTACCTGGCTTATATGAGCCATTCGTTGTAAATTAAATGGGTCGCAACCAGACTGTTTCACTTTCTTACTAATGATGGCAGGTGCATTAGGTAGCGTAGTTGGTTTAGGCACTATGCTACAAGCCGAAAGGTTGCGGGTTCGATTCCCGATGGTGTTATTACATTTTTCGATTTACCTAATCCTTCCAGCGGCATTATGTCTCTGGGGTAGATTCAGCCTCTAAGGGAAATGATTACCAGGAATCTTCCTGAGGTGTAAAGGGAACGTAAGGCTGACAACCTCACCGCCAACTGTGAGCCGATTGTATAGAAAATGTGGGAGCCTCGACGTCTCACAACCCTATGGGCCTCCAGGGCTTGTTACAGGAATAGCTTTACCTATTTACCTTTACTAATCGGTGGCAGCACCCAGATGCTCAGTACTGCTAATTTTGGATGCAGTCCTGAGCTACTTTCATCCAGCTTTCTCCCCCAAAATAAATGTTTTTAAGCATACTCCTTCTTGGCTACCAATTGGCTTCCATTGAGAAATTCTTTGTCTGTCTTCTGTCTTCTTTGTCCGAAGAAATAGTAAGTCCATCGTACATTTTTCACCCATACATTAAAATGTTATATAAAACTGATTGGGATCAGGGTGGGCGTTTATCGATGAATGTGTCTGCTGCTGATTCTCAGTGAATATGACCATGGAAGACATATTTTGTAACCGCCGGGTAAGGGCCGCGCCATAGCTCAAGCGGTTAGTCGCTGGCTTATACCGCGGCGGCCCGAGTTCGATCCAGGGTCTGGTCAAGTGGGTTTTGTGGTGGACAAAGTGGCGCTGAGGCAGGTTTTCTCCGAGTACTTCGGTTTCCCTGCCAATCTTCATTCCACCAATTGCTCCACAATCACCCACACCTATCATCTGGGGCTGGTACAATAGGCCAGAAGTGGCCGCAGTAAAGGGACTTAGTCCCACCCCACTAGCAATAAAAAACCTCCGGGTTGTCTATAGCACAGGCCGGGTCAGTATAGCTAAAGACAAAGAAAGGTTGTACCTGTGCATAATGCACTATGCCATGAAGACATATGGGGGGTTGGAGGTATAGCTCCACAATTCTTGACCTCGGCAATAGATGGATGTGAATGGTCAGCTTCACGCTTCATCCGCTTTACCCGTGGGATAAGAGCCCCCAGTACCCATTGTATAGTAGGCTGGGAGGGCCCCAGAAGCGGTCTGGACGCCTTGGAGACAAGAAAAATCTTACCCGTGCCGGGATTCGAACCAATCGCTATACAAAGCATATCCCAAAGTGTTCTGTAAGGCTTCTTTAAATTCTCACTTTAATTGAACAGTTTGACAGTTGTTACCGTTTTGACAGTGAACTCAGTTGAAGTAAGTATGTGGTACTTAAAGCAGCAATACAAAAGTAATGAGGTTGGTGGTGAATAACCTGTTATCTAACCCGGATATCCGGTTTTGAGAATTGTGCCTGTATCAGAATCCTAACACTAGCGTGTTAGGGCGGCCGCACACCAACTGCGTCAAGACAAGCGTCAAGACATGAGACAAAAGACGCAGCCTTGCTTCATTCGTGATTCGTCAGCATGAATCTGACGTCAGAATCATGACTCAGACCGGTGTGCGGCGGTTTTCATAATCTCATTAGTTTCAACTGTGCTCCTTTCGTTGCGTCATGCCGCAGTCATCGTATCTTGACGCATGCCGGTGTGCGGCCTACCTTAGAGTGGTTCGTGACCCATTTAACCGCAGTCACCATATTTTCTTTCCGTTTCCACCTTAACCAATTTCTATTTTTATGGTAATTTTACATTGGTATTAAATTTATATTGCCGGTCACGGTAGCCGAGCGGTCTAAGGCATGCACTGTCTTCGCTCGCTTGGAAGCCGGGATCGTGGGTTCGAATCCCACTCAGGGCATGGATGTTTGTGTGCTTTTTTCTGTGTTTGTGTACAGGTAGAGGCCTTGCGACGAGCTGATCACCCGCCCAAGGAGTCCTACCGAATGTGTAAGATCTACAGAAACCGAAGTGAACGGAGAAGTTCATGGAGGTAGGCCTAGGCCCACTGGGGCTGTAGTGCCAAGGGGGGGGGGAAATAAATTTATATTACTGGGACCAGAGGCGATTCCGATAAAGGAAGTTTCCATTTTTTTTTAGATCAGCCCCTTCTCACGGGTTCCGTTTTATACTGGTTTTGCTATACATCACTAACAGATGTAACAGCGAGAAGTGGGGTAAGGCTGTGGGTTCATTTCCGCGTGACTTAAGGATTCACTGTAGGTGCTGTTCTACAAGGGAGGCTGAAAAGAGATGGCAGTATAGTTCATTTGTGGGATATTCTCAGGACAGTAACGACGTGAGCACGGAAAATGAAGAATATCCATTGTTGAGAGCTGTTACCAAGCAACGACTAGTGAACACATTGCAGGCTGGAGGAGACTTAGCGTGTACGATTTATAAAGCGTGTAGACAGCGATAGCGCTGTAAGTGCTTGTAGTTCCGAGTCGTGTGTATAAGGTGTCAATAAATCTATTCACCAATCCATACCCCGTCTATAGCCACACACCCTACACGTGACATATATTGAATATTTCTTTTGATTTCTTTCCTATACAGCAAGTGGTCTCTTTAATACAGACGTGGCGTTTTTTTCTCGATGTAGAAATTGAATTCTCAAATATTTGAGCTGTTTTACGGTTATATCCGTTAAGTTGATGTTTAAGAAAGTAATAACTGTTCTTTGGTATTTTGCTTTTAAGCTTTTAATTATCGCGCTCGTTGCAGCGATGTTTCAAATCGCATGTCACCAAGCCTCATGCTTGTTACGGTGTTACTGTTTTGCGGTTAAGTAATTTGTGAGCGAAAGCTTGTTAGCCGGTATGTGACCGCCCACTGATCGGGGAAACCATGAAATTGACAGCAGCTTTTCACTTCAAACCGCACATGCGAAACTTCTGTGCATATTACCTACCCTATACGTCTGTGGCCTCGTGCCATTTTATAATTATACCTTACAGTTTGAGCACACTCATACAAAAGATGAAAATAAAATTAAGCTCTACGTGTTATACATTAAATGTAATTGTTATAACTAAAGGTAAATCTTTTACTCTGAATTTCTCAGTCGGTATAGCGACGGGTTGTGAGCTGGCCGGCCGGGATTCGATTCCCGGCAAATATAAGGGATTTTACTCTTATTCACGGTTGATAGACCGGCCCTGGGCCTCACTCCAGGCTTCTATCCAATGGGAACCAGGGACAGTAAAGCATCCGTGCCATAAAGCTGACTGCTCACCTCCATCTAGTGCCGAAGTCAAGAACGGTGGAGCTATACCTCCACTCCCCCATATATCTTCATAGCTTGGTGCTTAATAAATTAAGCACAAGGACAATTTTACCTTTTTAGCCAGAGTTGTACCCCAGTTCAAGATGTAATCTGATGACTGATTGGTCTTGATACATAATAAATGATTTTTATCAGAAAAATTATTCATATTATTTTAAATTTAAAATATTTACAGTAACCCTGTCTGTTTGTTCGATCCAGGGTCTGGTCAAGTGGGATTTGTGGTGGACAAAGTGGCGCTGGGTCAGGTTTTCTTGGAGTACTTTGGTTTCCCCTGCCAATCTGCATTCCTTCAATTGCTCCACAATCACCCTCACCTATCATCTGGGGCTGGTACAATAGGCCAGAAGTGGCCGCAGTATAAGGGACTTAGTCCCACCCCATTAGTAATAAAAAAACAAAAAAACCCTGTCTGTAGTCATCTCGGGGA